ACATGTGTCAACATGAATGTGGGGTGCACGTACATTTTACAAGGTGGGCCTAACATACCCTTGGTGGCCATGCATGTGGAGTCCATGTAGCGACACGTATGAGGGGCCCACAGACATTTTACAAGGTGGGACCCTCATACAATTGGTGGACATGTTTGTAGGGCCCATGCGTGGACATGTATGTGGGGCCCACAGATATTTTGCAAAGTGGGTCCTACATTCCTTTGGTGCACATGCATGTAGGGTCTGGACTTGTATGTAGCGCCCACATGCATTTTACAAGGTGGGCCCCACATGCAATTGGGGGATATGCATGTGGNTTGGTGCACATGCATGTAGGGTCTGGACTTGTATGTAGCGCCCACATGCATTTTACAAGGTGGGCCCCACATGCAATTGGGGGATATGCATGTGGGTTCATGCGTAGACWKGTATRTGGGGCCCACCTACATTTTACAAGGTGTGTCCCACATAATATCTAATGTGGGCCCATATACATTTTGCAATGTGGGCCCCACATACCATTGGCTTGTCCTACTTACACATTCAAATAATTTGTGAAAAGATAACTCTTTTTCTTTGAAATGTGTGTATCGTACCACACATTCGAAGAAGATGGGGAGCTAAAAGACTATAAAAACTTCATTTGAAACTTCTTGAAAAAGCCCAAATTCGGGCTTTTGGCATCTTTTATAGGATAAAGCTTTTACCGAATAGAGCTTTTCTATTRCCAAACAGGAAAAGCCTAGAATTCAGGATTCCGGGATTCGAAACAGCCCGAAGCACACACGAAAAGACGTGCCAAACGCGGCCAGAAACTTTGCTCCTCAAAGCACTATAGCTCTTCCCCGACTTGAATGAGAAACGAGCGAAGCTATGTTTGGGAAAATTAGGCCATGTTTGGTTCGCTAGCAATGACCTCTTTTTTTAATTCTTGCCGATTCTAGGGTACATGTGTCAACATGTATGTGGGCCCAAGTACATTTTACAAGGTGGGCCCAACATACCATTGGTAGCCATGAATGTGGGGTCCATGTGTGGAGATGTATGAGGGGCCCACATACATTTTACAAGGTGGCCCCCACATACAATCGGTAGACATGTATGTGGGGCCCATGTGTGCACATGTATGAGGGGCTTACATAGATTTTGCAAGGTGGGTCCACATACCATCGGTGCACATGCATGTTGGGTCCATGTGTGGACATGTATTTCGGGCCCACATACATTTTACAATGTGGGCCCCACATGCTATTGGTGGATATGCATGTGGGTCCATGTGTAGACATTTATGTGTGGCCCTCATACATTTTACTAGGTGGGTCGCACATAATACCTAATGAGGGCCCCACATACATTTTCCAAAGTGGGCCCCACAAACCCTTCGTAGGTCCCACTTACACATTCAAATAGTTTTTGTGGAAATATAACTCATTTTCTACAAAGTGTGTGCATGTACCACACGTTCGAAGAAGACGGGGCGCTAAAAGACTATCAAAACTTTATTTTAAGCTTTTTGAAAAAGCCCAAATTCGGGCTTCTGGCATCTTTTATGGGCTGGAGCTTTTCTCGAATAGATCTTTCTATTTCGAAATGGGAAAAGCCTAGAATTCAAGCTTCTAGGCTTCTAAACAGCCTGAAGCCCGTAAGAAGTGACTTGCCAAACGCGGCTAGAAGCTTTGCTCCTCTCAGCACTACAACTCCTTCCCGATTGGAATGAAAAACGAGCGAAGCTCTATTTGGGCGAATTAGGCCATGTATGCTTCGCTGCCAATGGCCTCATTCTTTTAATTCTTGCCGATTCTACAGTACATATGTCAACATGTATGTGGGGCCCATGTCCATTTTACAAGGTGGGCCCGACATACCATTGTGGCCATGCATGTGGGGTCCATGTGTGGATATGTATGAGAAGCCCACATACATTTTACAAGGTGGGCCCCACATACAATTGGTGGACATGTATGTACAACCCATGTGTGGACATGTGTGTGGGGCCCACATTCATTTTACAAGGAGGGTCCCATATACCTTTGGTGCACATACATGTAGGGTCCATGTGTGGACATGTATGTAGGGCCCACATATAGTTTACATGGTGGGCCCAACATGCCTTTGGTGGATATGTAAGTGGGTCCTAGTGTAGACATATATGTGGGGCCCACATACATTTTACAAAGTGGGCCCCACATACAATCGATGCACATGCATGTAGGTTCCATGTGTGGACATGTATGTAGGACCCATGTACATTTTACAACATGGGCCCCACATGCCATTTGGGGATATGCATGTGGATCCATGTGTAGACATGTATGTGGGGTACATATACATTTTACAAGATGGGTGCCACATAATAACTAATGTGGGCCCCACATACATTTTGCAAAGTGGGTCCCACATACCATTGGTAGGTCCCACATACCATTGGTACGACACGTTCAAAGAAGACAGGGTGCTAAAAGACTGTAAAAACTTCATTTGAACTTCTTGTAAAATGCCCAAATTTGGGCTTCTAGCATCTTTTATGGGCTGGAGCTTTTCCGAATATATCTTCTTATTGGCAAACGGGAAAAGCATAGTACTCAGGATTCCGGGCTTCTAAATAGCCTGAAGCCCATGTGAAAAGACTTGCCAAACGCAGACTGAAACTTTGCTCCGCTCAGCACTATTGCTCCTCCTCGACTGGAATGAGAAATGAGCGAAGCTCTGTTTGGGCGAATTAGGCCATGTATGGTTCGCTGCCAATGGCCTCATTCTTTTAATTCTTGCCGATTCTGGGGTACATGTGTCAACATGTATGTGGAGCCCACATACATTTTACAAGGTGGGTCCAACATACCATTGGTCGCCATGCATGTTGGATCCATGTGTGGACATGTATGAGGGGCCCACATACATTTTACAAGGTGGGCCCTACATACAATTGGTGGACATGTATTTAGGGCCCATGGGTGGACATATATTTACAAGGTGGGTCCGACATACCATTGGTGGCCATGCATGTGGGGTCCATGTGTGGACATGTATGAGGAGCCCACATACATTTTACAAGGTGGACCCCACCTACAATTGGTGGACATGTATTTAGGGCCCATGAGTGCACATGTATGTGGGGTCCACATACATTTTGCAAGGTGAACCCTACGTACCATTGGTGCATATGAATGTAGGGTCGTGTGACAAAATATTAAGGGTAGGGGAGGTTTTAATTGATTGGGAGGCTTTAAGATAATATATATAAATAACAAACATAGAATTAATCAATTAACTTAAAATGTAAGGATAGTTTAAAAAATTTGCCCCAAAACAAACCAACCATATACATGGTACCACTTAACCCAGACACCCCACCACTCAACACTCCCACAATTTCAATCAGGATGAACGAGACGGGAGACAAAATCATAGACACCTGACTGAACTACTATCATGGTTAAACACATCAGTGCTCATTGTGAGCCATCTGGGATGCAACTGTACTGAACACTGACGTGATAGATAGTTCAGCCGGGTCGGTATGTTTTTATTTACAGCTGATCCGCTCCCACGCAATTTTACATTTACATCTGTACAGGCAATAAAGCCCCTCAGGCTATTATAAAACATACAAACATGCTTGTAGCATTTTCAGAACCACTACCTTGTCAGATTTTTTCTTTCCTAGCTGTTGATTTGAATGAATGAATCTGCCTGAGGGCTTTCTTTGAAAAAAAAAAAAATTCTACATCAATTGTAGTTTTCGTATTTTTCTTTTCTTTCTGTGATGGGATCCCATTTACAATTCACCTTTATAAAATCTGGTGGGTGCCGCTCCTCCGTGTTGGCGAATTCATTCTTGATTCCCCTGTCATCTTTCTCCACCAAGAAATTCTCGCAAGGGCGTTGTCTTCACCCTGTAAGACCACTGCAAAATGCTCAAGTCATCAAGCACATCCAATTACATGTTAGATCACAACTCTCAAATGAAGAGGTTATCAGGCGATCAGGAAACTACAAGCCAAGCAGTTGGGAAAATGATGATTTGCAATCTCTCAAGAGTGACTTCCCGGTGATTATCATGATCAATATTTAATTTTTAAGGCCCAAACATTTTTGTTATATTTTTACTAATTTACAGGCTTACTGAACAGGAAGAGGCGTATGTGGAACGGGCCACGAAACTGGTGGTGGACGTCAAACGCAAGTTCAATCAAGCAGCAGGAGCAGTGGATCTACTGGAGCTGATTGACAATGTTCAAAGGCTAGGAGTTGGGTATCACTTCCAAACTGAGATCAAGAGGGCTCTGGAATCCATAAAGGACACCTCTGTCAATGCAGACGAAGAATTATATGCAACTGCTCTACGCTTTAGGCTCCTTAGGCAACATGGATTTCAGATTTCCCAAGGTATATTGGATTATTGGATCTTCTTCTTCTTCTTTCTCATGACTATTTGATCATATTTTGGGCGGTTTATTAGATGTTTTTAAAAGCTTCATGGACAAGAAGGGTGGTAGTTTCAATGAGTCACTCCGCAAGGACACGAAGGGACTATTGGATTTGTATGAGGCTTCTTATCATGGTTTTGAAGGAGAAGACATATTGGATGGTGCCCAACAGTTTACAAAGAGACATCTTATCAAACAGCTCAAAGAGAAAACATCCCCAAATTATAAAAACATGGCCAGACTAGTAAGCCATGCGTTGGAGATGCCCTTGCACTGGAGAATGAATAGGTGGGAAGCCAGATGGTTCATAGACACCTACTCCATGAAACAAGATATGGACCCTTTGATACTTGAATTTGCTAAGCTTGACTTCAACATGGTGCAAGCTATATATCAGCAAGAATTAAAAGATGCATCAAGGTATTTATATCAATAAAAAAAATTACATTTTTCGGTTCAAAAGCTAGAAATTTGTTTCATCTAATCCGGATGATTAGGCACTAATTTTTTGTCTAATATTCAATTTCTTGCTTAATTTACCATTGTATTAATTCCAGGTGGTGGACTGACTTGGGCCTCGCCGAGGCATTAAGATTTAGTAGAGACAGGATAGTCGAGAATTACTTGTGGACCACTGGAATCATATTCGAACCTCAGTTCGGATATTGTAGAAGACAACTTACGAAAGCCAATTGTTTGATCACAACAATTGATGATGTGTATGATGTGTATGGTACTCTGGATGAACTCAAGCTTTTTACTGATGCAGTTGAAAGGTTGGTAAAAAATAATGTATAGTGTTTTTCGTGCTTAACGGGATCCTTTAATTTGAATTATCATATAATTTGGTCACATGCATTAAAAGTCTTTGGCAAGTGAAAGTGGCTAAAAGGGGTAGGAATAGACCAAAAATACATGGGTCAAAGTAGGTGAAAATGGTCATAAATAATTGATGATGATATAAATATAGAGCAAAAGAATGAATATATATAGTTTCATGTACATAGCATCATTATTCAGTAGTACTTATTTATTTATTTATTATTTGTAGATGGGACATCAACACCTTGAGAGATCTTCCGGATTACATGAAGATATGTTTCATGGCACTCTACAACAATATCAACGAAATGGCTTATGATTTTTTAAAGAAACGTGGCTGGGACATATTAAAATACTTGAAGAAAGGGGTATTATATATATACTAGTTTAACTTTCCCCCTTTTTTTTTATTTTTTTACTTTTTTTGCTACATAGTCTCATTAAACTTTAGGAAAAGAATATGAAACACAACCCGGTGGACTAACTCACCAATCCCCTGACGCATTTGAGGATAAAGCAGTATAGGCAAAAATGTGATACTTCCAAGAAAATCCTTTCAAGGATTAAAGTATTGATACCCCAATATAAACTCAATATATTGTTTATATTATGTACTTTATACTTTTTGTTTTTATATTTTTAAAAGTATGAAAAACCCTAAAATATAAAATCAATTTTTTATATTTATACTTTTGGTGAAATTGTGTTTTTGTTTTCATGCGAACATGTGACCACCCTTCAATAGAATTCTCCACCCTATATCCGATCACTATTGTTAGAATCAGACTGTTGTCATCAATCTCAGACTCTGAAACCACCAGAAACCGTCACTAAAAATACAAATAAATATACTTTTGTCAAACACAAAATGATACTTTTGTTATGATAAATATACTTTTTAAGTTTTTATAACTAAATAGTTTTCAAAATAAAAATATCAAAGAAAAGTATTTTATGAAAAATACAAAAGTAGAAATCTTATGCAAACAGCGCCAAATACGCCTACCTATATTAAAATTATGGTTTTGTCGGTGATGTTCGTAAATTTCATTGCTGTTGGTTTCCCGCTTTCTATTAAATAAAAAATTCAATTATAAGGTAGTCATTCATCTCTCTTCTTAATTTGTTTTATGAAAAGTCAAAATAACTAAAAACAATTTTTTAGTAAAGTGATGAAAGGTCGTGGATTAATTACAATGGTATAATAATCTTTCAAGGTCAACTATGTTATCTAAAAGATACGATACCTTAAAAAACTTAAACCAATCAATAGGTATATATATCATAAAATTGACAATACAATATTTATCAAAATTCAGCTTTGATTGGCCAAGGCTCTTCTAGTATAGATTTTTCTTTTCTAAAAAAATACGGATTATAATATTTTCAAAAAAACTTCAAAAATATATTAACTTTTTAAAAATAAGATCAATTAAGGGCAAAAATACTGTTCATCTTCTTCCTCTTGTAATCCATTCATCAGCGCCGCTGTCGGCCGCCGCCTCTGGCAACGCCTTCGCCTATCTCCACCCGCCTCCGCCTCCACCAATGTTGCCAGAGGTGGGTGGAGGCAGAGGTGAGCGGAGATAGGCGGAGGCGGCAATGGGCGGATGACGGCGTTGATGAATAGATTGAAAGAGGAAGAAGATGAACAATGTTTTTGTCCTAAATTGATATTATTTTTAAAAGGTTAACTTATTTTTGAATTTTTTTAAAAAATATTACTTTTATTGATATTAGGGCCCAAAATTTGCCCTTATCTGCTATAGTCCCCAAGAAATATCAAACGAACGTAATTACCTCTACTCTCAAAAAAAAAAGGAAGGGTAATTAATTACAAATTAAATGGAGTTTCATTCTTTTAGATAAAGTGGGCCACTATCTACAAATTAAACCTTATTTAGTCTCCTAAATTAAATAGGAATTCAAATCCAAATTTATCACATAATTAAGTAGTAGATTTCAAACAAAATAATGGATTTGGTATAGTTTTTATTGTTTTACATTACATATAAGGTGGATTTACCACTTGAGACTTTAGGCTCCATTTGGTAGGAGTACAAATACAAATATGTATAGTACAAATAGATAGAAAATAATGCAAAATACAAGGTTTTGCAATCTACAAATTTGTATTTGTATTCCTTTCAAACTGAGCCTTAACAACATTAATGATATCACTATGACATATCACCTTTCCAATGGTTTACTTCATGTTTAAATTATGTTGCATTAATTTCCATATAATGCACTATAGATTTTGGGGTTATTTAAATTCACTACAACCAATTCAGTTTCCATTTTACTAGGAAATTGAATGTAACATGGGCATCTATTTTATTAGGAAACTGAATGTATATATACCACATATTGTTTTTTTTCTCGGATTTTGTTTCTTATTTTTTTTTCCTATTCTTCTACAAGTGGTTGGATTTATGCAAAACATACTTGGTAGAGGCCCAGTGGTATTACAATGGATACAAACCGACACTTGAAGAGTATTTGAACAATGCATGGATATCAATATCAGCACCTACCATCTTAGTTCATAATTACTTTTGCGTGGAAAATAAGATAAAAGAGGAAGCATTGGAGCAACTGGATAACTATCCAAGCATTGTAAGATCGTCGGGAGCTTTGCTTCGATATAGCGATGACCTTGGAACTTCAACTGTATGTGAGGCAAACGAAATGAACTGAAAACCTCCATTATTATCTTTCTTCTTCACTTTTGATAAAATATTTTTTTAGAGTAAAATTAATTTCTATGTAATTAATATTTATTCATGTAGGATGAGCTGAAGAGAGGAGATGTTCCAAAATCAATCCAGTGTTATATGCATGAGACTGGTGCTCCTGAGGAAATTGCCCGTGAACACATTCGCGGTCTCCGTGCTAAAGAATGGAAGAAAATGAACAAATGTATGACTGCTCCTTCTCCTTTCCCTCAAGCATTTAAAGATAGTGCAGCGGGCCTCGGACGAATGGCTCAATTCATGTACCAGCACGGAGATGGGCATGGACTACTTGCAGACAGCTTGACCAAGAACCGCATTATGCCATTATTGGTTCATCCCATTCCCCTTGATTGATTGGGCCATTCGACATCCCAATTCTGTATGGCTTTCACTTGATGCTTTGCACAATGAGGATATGTTATATATACATTCAATGTTTATTCTTTACTCTAGTAGTGTTTCAAGGCTAGTCCCACTTAATTCTCATGTGGGATTGGTTCTGAACCCTTTGGAGCTTTGAGTTTGGGTACGCCCTATATATTTTTTAATAAATAATACTATCTTACCTATTAAAAAAAAAATAAAATAAAATAAATTCAATCCTTGTGGATGATGTTAAAGAATACATACTTTACTGTTTGAGGGCCCAGTCCCCCTTAATCTTAGTATACATTCAATCCCTTCAGTACCGTGCTTAACACAGGCAAAAAAGAGCAATGAGTACCGTCTAATATCTAATTAGCTAGAATGGATTAATCCGGTTGGAACTTACTGCTCAAGCATGTTGTCTCTCCAATGTTATCATCTTATCTCAGCACGATAGATTATGTTGTATTGATCTATTATATTTGCGGTGTCTTATTTTTAAATCTATTCTCATTTTCTTCCATCCTTCCATCAAGCTTTAAATTACTTGTCTTCAAACCTCAATTTGTCTAATTCATCGTGTAACAACAAATATTACCTGATTCATAATATAAACTCCACCATCCACCAAAACCATGGTTGTATGAATACAGTTAACAACATCTAAATTACAAAGGCACAAGTTATTAAAAATAAGTTTTCAATCAAAGAATTGCATGTCCAATACATGCTAAAAACATAGTCACTATCTCTCACAGTGCACATGCAAACTACCAAATACAAGAGGATAGATTGTTAGACAGTGTATGCCCTTGGCTCCAATCAACTTGCTGTATATTATGACATTTATTGTAAATGAATAAAATACATATTTGAATCATGTTATATTGGTGTGTTTCTGTGTAATACCCTTAAACTAGACACTTATAAGACTCGTGTTAGTTTAGAATCTCTATAGCCGTTGGATAGATCTAGGGAGATTTATCCTGCCAATGCTGACATTGATGTGCTGCCAAGTGGGTTAGGGTGGCTTGTCTCAGCTACCAAGGTGAGACCTGAAGCACATGCAGTGTGGGCTTACTTGAAACTCTGAAACCAGACTATTTTCCAGTTATGCCTTAGACCTTGCAGACAGATGGGAAAAACTAGAAAGTTACACCTGACCCATAGGCTTGATTATGGTACTACACTAAGTGTCGGAGAATTCATCTGAGTGGGTGATCATAGTGATAGAATCAACCCCTTTGTCAGACAAAGTGAATGATCGGGGAATGTACTCTCTCTGATGGAAACCTAAACTCCTGGCAGTTGATTTCAAATTGTTGAGATTTATTTTTGCAAAATATATTTATATAGAGATATACATATTTATTATAGTTTCACAAAATGTTTGCAAAAATATTTTAATTCCCGAGATCCATGTGAGTAGAGAGTGCAACATTGTACCTTGCAGCCGAGGGAGAGGTCCTCTCTTGTCGAGCAGTGTTTGATCATTATGGGYTGAGAGGTTAAGTATAAGACCAATTAGGGATAATAAACCTGATGGGCTAATCTTACATAATTCCATAGTCCTTGGGCCTTCATAAGGTGGCTGGACCTAGGGACCAATTAGTCTAAATGTTGGGCCTGCTAAGAGCCCATGTTGATGGACTTAGGGGTTCATTGTCTTCAGTAGTGAACTTGGCCAAGCCTTGTAACAAAGGCTAGGCTGAACCCATATGACTTTTGTGGAGATGAATGCTAGGGTCCCACGCCATACAAAGAGAACCAAACTAGCTAGTATTTAAAGGAAAAGTGAGCTATGTGACAAAATGGGCCTAAAGCCTATTTCGAATTGGGCTTAAGTGATTTAATTAAATGGGCGAATTCTAGTTTATAATCTGATTAGGATTAGCTAAAAGATAAGATAAGTCTTATCCATTTAAGAGTCATGATCCAAATAAAGATATGGATCAAAGAACTCTTTCCTAATTGGATTAGGAAACTGATCTAAAGAAGGTTATAAATAGGAGGGCGAATTCTTCTTAAAGAAGCAATTCTTTCTGCAATCTTTTTCTCCCTCTGCTCTTGCTGCCCTACCCAGTTCAATCTCCACCTCCTAGAGTGATTAAGAACAGTTCTTGATATTATTTCTTGGTAGAAGAAACAATCTGAAGTCGTGCTCACATACTCCCTACTTAATTCTTGGTGAAGAATCTGGGTTCTTGGTGAAGAACCCCTTTGCTGATCCTGCCTCAACATAAGATGTGTCATCTTCAGTGGATGCCGGTTTTGGTGATCTCTTTGGGCGTGAATACCTACATTGGGAGAAGCTTTTGTGTGGATTCCGTATCAGGTATTCCTCTTCCTCTTTTGGTTTCAAATCAGGTCTGTTTTGTTTCAAGAACGAACCTTGAATAGTGCAGTTTTTCTAAATCAAGGAATATGATTCTCAGATGGGAGAAATAAATTTTTGAAATTTCACTGAGCCACCATGCATGGTTCGGCCCTCCATATGATGGATCTCCCATCCCTTCAGTGGTATCAGAGCCAGGTTTAATTCTTAAACCAAATCAGACCTGATTTGAACCTGCGCAAATGGGCAGAACCAGTTCTACCTGATTTGCACAGGTTATTGTTTTTTTTGGGAATTAGTTCCCAGTTTTTGGGAATATGGTTTGAAAATTAATCTTTATTTATCTACAATAATTATAGAATTGTTCTATTTTTATTTCTTGATTTTTGGGTTGTTCGTATGGTGGAGATCGAAATCTTTATTGGCACCAAGAACTATGCACCCTGTTGTATTATTCTAATCAATTCAGCCTGTAAATAATTTTTTTTTTTATTTTTAGACAAAATGTATAGGATTTTTTCTGATGTAATTAATAAAAAATTAGTTTTTTTTTTCTATTTTTTTCATTGGAAGAACTGTTGGAAGTGCGCGAAGGAGAAGATTTTGTAGAACCGAATTCAGCTATCTGCAATTTACAGATATGGAACCTGCGATCTGCGAACTAACTTTTGCAGCCACATGAACAACCCTCTAATTCTTGTTTTTCTGATTCTTGATTGTCTTTTATCAGCTTTAATTAATTTTCAGATCATTTTCTTGAATTGGATCTTGGAATAGACACCAAACCCTAGGCCGATTTGGCCCAGATTGGACCAAACTAGTTGGACTAAATCTGTGATTCAATAGGGCCTGTTCTCAGCCCTAAATTTTGATTCTGGGCTAGGGGTTTGATGGCCCATTACAAGATGTAATTCAGCCCACTCCTGTAAACCCAGTTTTGTTAAGTTGAAACTGCATTGGCCTAAATTAGCACAAATGCTATATGGGCCGAACTGCTTTTTGCAATTTAGCCCATATACCTAGATAATGTTATGGGCTGTAAATAGGTTGATATTGTTTTAACCTAATTAATTAGGGTTTTACCGTTTATGTGTGATTGAATCAATTGTCATGCATGTGGATGTATGTGATATGTGATGTGCTACGTACATGGGCCATAAACACTTGGCCCATGTTCATTCGTTAGTGGCTCTTTTCACACACCATGGCTGAATGCACATCATTGCCATGGTGTCCTTAAGATCATTGGATGATCTCCCTTCCTGATGGGCCCACTTCAGCTTCCTTCCCAAGAGGAACCATATGGAACCGTAGCCCGTTTTGGGCCCATCTAAATCTGACTTTGAGAAACTAAGTGGGAGCCACTTTGGTTTGACCTAAATAAGAACTAGGGCGTAATTACTTGTTCCCTCCAGAAAAATATAAGTGCATGTGATAGGGAGATTCATATGATGAACTCTCTAAAGGCCTTCCATCATTAGCATGAAGATGGGTTTATCAGTAATGAGGAGATGCACTATAAAATTGGGCTATCCATTTGCTAGTGAGTCTGTTTGGTTGTTTCATAAGATGATAGGAGCATTATAAACCGATGCGGGAGGGGCCAATCCTAAAATGGAAGACTCTCTCATGGTACCTTTGTGTTAGCACCAATTTTTTGTTCGACCCCTTCACCCCACCTCTTGGTACCCTCCGCTTAGACCCCAGATACTTAGAAACATAACCAGATCAACTTGAGACTTCCCAAAATCTGAAATACCCTCCTTTGACACAACTTATAAGACAAATGAGAGCCTTGATATCAGTATCAACATCCGATCAAACATCACCCCTAGACTTTGAAAAGTACAACCTAGTCACACATCAATTTTCATGACTAAACTCTAAAGATCCACTGTTCATCACACCAACTTCCTTTCTAGCGGCCCCAATCTATGCGATATCCAAATCCTGACTCCTCCAAAATTAAATCCAACATATCCATCACCCCAAGACCACTAGAAAGTAATCAACTAGCGAAAAGTCTGAGTGACACATTGTAGGGATTTAGGACAAGCAAAAGGCTAAGTGACGGAGAAATGACTCTTTACATGTGGACTTCTGCAACATTTGCAGCTACAACTATAGGAACTGCAGATTTACATTTTAGAGAAGGAATTGTAACTCTTAAAGATTGTCTTTATGTGCCAAATTTGAGAAGAAATTTGATTTCTGTTTCAAAATTGTGCATGGATGGTTATTCTATTTTGTTTAGTAATGTGATTACTATTAAACGGAATAACAAATTCCTTACGGAGAACATGAGAATGGTCTTTATGTTCTCCATCCTATTCTGGAAACCAATCTAACCGAAAACTATGTCGAAATTAATCCCCAAGAAAAGAACACGTGAAACAGTTAATCTCTCGTGCCTGTGGCATTACCGACTTGGCCACATTAACATAGATTGCATCACAAGGTTGGTAAAGGATGGTCCTTTGGATTTTCTAACTATAGAAAATCTTCCAACCCGTGAATCTTACATTCAGGGTAAGATTACGAAGTGGACATTTATGGGAAAGCCTGAAAGATCTACATGCATGCTTGACCTTGTACATACTGATGTATGTGGTCCCTTGAATGTTAGGACACATAACCAACACGTTTATTTTATAACATTTACCGATGATCATTCACGGTATGGTTACATGTACCTAATGAGACATAAGTCTGAAT